TCCCCTGCAGGCCTGGTCTCACCCAACTGCCCTCCCCACAGGCCTGATCCCCCTAACTACCCTCCCCTGCAGGCCTGGTCCTCCCCCAACTGTCCTCCCCTGCAGGCCTGGTCTCACCCAACTGTCCTCTCCTGCAAGCTTGATCACCCACAATTGCCCTCCCCTGCTGGCCATCTTGTGGCCGCCATCTTGTATTCACATGGGAGTGGCCATCTTGTGTGTTGGAGTGATGGTCAATTTGCATATTACTCTTTTATTAGATAGGATTCTCTGTGCCTTACATTATATCCACATGTTTTATATTTATAACTGGAAGTTTGTACCTCTTAGTCCCCTTCACCTTTTACATCCATCCTTCTCCTACCCCAGCAACCACCAATCTGTTCTCTGTTTCTGAGTCTGTTTCTGTTTGGGTTTTTTTGTTTGTTTGTTTGTTTGTTTTTTAGATTCTACATATAAGTGAAATCATATGGCATTTGTCATCACTTAACATAATATCCTTTAGGTCCACCTATGTTGTCTCAAATGGCAAGAGTATATTCTTTTTCGGGGGCTGAGTAATATTCCATTGTATATATTAACCACATCTTCTTTATCACTCATCTATCGATAGCACCTAGCTTACTTCCATATCTTGGCTATTGCAAATAATTCTGCAATGAACATAGGTATGCATATATCTTTTCAATTAGTGTTTTCACTTTTTTCAGATAAACACCCAGAAGTGGAATTGCGAGGTCATGTGGTAGTTTTACTTTTAATTTATTTAGGAACCTCCATACGTACTGTGTTTTATAGTGTCTAAACCAATTTCCAATCCTGCCAACAATACAAAAAGCCAACCAATCAAATGGAAGAAGATATTTGCAGATGAGCTAATATCCAAAATATATAAAGAACTCATACAACTCGCCAACAAAAAACAAACAACTCAATTTTTAAAAAATATATTTTATTGAGTTTTTACAGAGAGGAAGAGAGAGGGATAGAGAGTCAGAAACATCCATCAGCTGCCTCCTGCATCACCCCACTAGGGATGCGCCCACAACCAAGATACATGACCTTGATTGGAATCGAACCTGGAACCCCTCAGTCCGCAGGTCGACCCTCTAGCAACTGAGCCAAACTGATTTCAGCCAAACAACTCAATTTAAAAATGGGCAGAGGGCCTGAACAGACACTTCTCCCACACAAATGGCTAACATATATGAAAAAATGCTTAACCGCACAAGCTATAAAGGAAATGCACATCAAAACCACGACGAGATGCCACCTTATACCTGTTATATAGAATGACTATTAGCAACAAAACAAATAATAACAAGAATTACAGAGGTTGAGGAGAAAAAGGAACCTTATTCACTGCTGATGGGAATGTAAACTGGTACAGTCACCATGGAAAACAGTATGGCGGTTCCTCAAAAAATTAAGAATGGAACTACCATATAACTCAGCAATCCCTCTTCTCAGTATTTACCCCCAAATGTTAAAACATTTCTCCATAAAGATTTACACAACCCTATCCTTGTTGCAACATTATTCATGGTGGCCAAGATATGGAAATAACCTAGGTGTCCTTCAGTGGATAGCTGGATAAAGAAGATGTGGTACATATATACAGTGGAATACTCGGCCATAAGATAAGATGAAATTCTGCCATTTGTGATAACATGTATCTTGACAATATCATGCTAAACCAAATAAGTCAGATGGAAAAAACAAGAACCATATGATTTTACTCATATGAGGGATATAAAACAAAAAGCAACAAATGAACAAATAAAAAACTCATCGACACAGATAACAGTATGGGGGTTACCAATGGGGGAAGGGAGATAAGAGGAGGGAGAAGAGAGTAAAAGGGGCCAGAATATATGGTGACAGGAGACTTGATTTTGGGTGGTGATCACACAATGCAATATATAGATGATTTCTTATAGTACACTTAATGTCATTTTATTATCCAATGTCACCCCAATAAATTTAATACAATTTTTAAAAGGAGCATACATTTGACAAGATTGAAACAACCTTTAAAAATGTAACCTTCCTTCTTCATCTAGAAAGGAGCCACGTCATACAAATTAGCCCCCAGTAGAGTTTCTTTTGGGGTCTCCTTAATTTATTTTGTCAAATAGATTCCTGAAAAGAAAGCTAAATAGAGCTTTCAGGTATCTTCTGAGTTGGCTCGAAGAGGCTCACTGGTGGAGGTACTGTGAGAGGAATCCTGCTGATCACACTCAGGTCACAGGGCACCAGAAGCTTTACAGTTACCAGAATCACTGATTTCAGTCCTTACACTATATGTACATCATGGACATCATCTCTTTCAGGTGATGAGATCTTGGGTGGCAACATGATTCTTCCAAGGAGCTCCAGATGCTTCCAGCTGTTAATTCCAAAGACTGCATTCAAAGAACATAAAACTTATTTGAAAATACACTTGTAGATGCCACAAATGGTGGGTGAAGTAAAGATAAAGTATTTTTTTTTTTTCTGGATGCTCTGGTCTTAGTGGATGCACATTTATTCTTTACTTTGAAAATTTTCAAGAGTGACACAATGAAATGTATAAGTCTTGAATACTATGACTATGCAATGGAACTTAGTACATTATCCAATCATCTGCAAAAGAGGTCTTCATTATACAGTGTGTATTATTTTAAATCAGACTACTTTAGGACCACCAATATGTTCTATCCATTTCCTCATAGGCCCTTTAACCTCCTCGTTCCTCATACTGTAGATAAGGGGATTCAACATTGGGATCACCACCACGCAGAACACAAACACCACTTTGTTTTGTTCAGCTGAGTAGCTTGACGTGGGCATCACATCAATGAACGCAGGGGTCCCGTAGAGCAGAGTGACCACTGTGAGGTGGGAGGTGCAGGCGGAGAAGGCTTGGTGGCACCCATTGGTGGAGTGGATCTTCAGGGTTGATAAGAGGATATAGACATCCGACAGAACAATGATAAACACAGTGACCACAATGATGGAGCAGGAAGAGACGGCTGCAATTATTTCAGAAGTAAACTCATGAGAACAGGAAAGCTTCAAACGTAGTGAATAGTCACAGAAAAAGTGATTGACTTTATTTGGTCCACAGAAGGATAGACTTAATAAACAGCCAGTAAATGCCCAAGCATTCACACATCCACCTAGGTAGCACATCCCCACTAAGAGAGTAGAGATTCTGGGGGACATGTGAGTGGAGGAGAGCAGTGGAGAGCAGATGGCCACATAGTGGTCATAGCCCATGACAGCCAGCAGGAAGCACTCAGCTCTCCCAAATGTGACTGTAGAACAGAGTTGGGCTATACAACCAGCAATACGAATAGAGGTTTCTTCCCTGAGGAAGTCCATGAGCATCGCAGGTGTGACCGATGAGGAGTAACCAATGTCTACGAAGGCCAAATAGCAGAGGAAAAGATACACTGGGGCACGAGGTTGTGGGCTGCTTCTGATTATCATGATTATGCTGGCATTGCCCATTAAGGTGACAACGTAGATTCCTGAAAACACAATAAATAAAATGATACAAATTATAGTATCCCCTGATAACTCCAAAATAATGAACTCTGTCACAGTTGTATCGTTTTCAGTCCCCATCTACTAGTATGCTGGAAATGGTGCCCACTGAAAACAAAATAAGTGGATATTAGAACAGAAGAAAATATTATAATTGCACACTTATTTTGCAGTGGTTATATAATAAAAATTACAAAATCGTAGACACACTAGTGTAAATTTGGTATAAAGTACTTTCATATTCATTACCTCATTTTAAACTCGATAGTGTATTTATTTATTGATACAGGCCGGGAATAAAACAAATAGTTTTAACTTAGCAAACTTGAATGGAACTTTATTAACTAACTATGGACACAAAACAAAATGAAAGCTTACAATTTTAAAGAAAATAGATGTGAATTACACAAATTCATTCATTCACAAACGACATATGGCATGGAAGTAAAGGATTGTGCAAGTGCCATGAGCTTTGGAGCCATACAGGCCTAGAGTCAAATTCCGGCTTTGCCAGTGACTCTGTGGAATCTCAGACAATCTGCATGAACTCTCCAACCCTCCATTACCATATATATATATTAGGATTCTTATGTCAAATAAGATAATGTAGATGACAACAGCAAGCCCAGCTCACAGAGATAAGTGAATGCTCCACGAATGATTTAGAATAATCAAACGCTAATACAAAAATTTTTTAAAGTATTTCTGTATCAATATAAAAAGAAAATTATTACCTGTAGATATTGTTGCCTCAACAATAAGGACAATTGCCAAGGAATTGTCAATATAGAGCAAGGCTATATTTATGAGATTTGAGGTCTTTTGGACATAGCCTCTTGAGTACATTACTTGTTTGTGAACATTCAACTGAAAACCCATCAAGATAGAGAAGAAAGAACAATTAAACATTCTTTTGAGTGTGCAAGAAAACTTTTGATGGATTGCTAAATCTAACTATTTTGAGACTCACAAGAATAAACATAAGGTAGCAGATAGAATTCTTCAGGGGGAAAAATAAATGCCTATGTTTTTTATACATTTCTAGATGATGCCACCTATATTTTTGAGATAATTATAGATTCATGTACAGTTGTAAGAAATAATACAATATTCATTCATAGGAGCACACAACTAAGGAGTGGACAGCCCTATCCCTCTGACTGGTGGGGGGGGGGGGGGGGGGGGGAGAGGAGAGGGCTTTCCAATAACACCTTTCCGGTATCTGTAGCAGGTGTACCCTAATCATACCATCTTTGTATAACCTGTCCTCATTCCCTATAAAACATTAACTGGGCCCCCACCCCAGCCACCACTTCAATGCAACTCACTGCAGACGCCTTGCCAAGGGCAGGACAAATGTCTCCAAGCACCGAAGGACTTGGGAATCATCCTGAGACCATGCACCCAAGCATCATAACCGGAGTCATCATTAGTTATCCCAGGATAACTCAGGGGTTTTAATTCCCAAGGGTGGTTTAAGTCAAATGTAAAATCCCTCACAGAAATTCAATATAAACTATTCCCTTGGCACCCAGGAAGCTCCAGAACAAGAGATAGCAGACTCATCACACTTTCACTTTATAAATACAGGTTTGTCGGTGTGGAACACAGAAACCAAACCTGCCAGCAAGACATGAAGAAGCCGACAGGAAATTCTCTAAGTGAATGCTTCCTGGGCACTGGGAGTCCTGACTGCCCGACAGGTACTCGGTAAGTTGTATTCACTTCTCAGACTGTCGTAGTAAAAACTACAAGGCAGTCAAGAGAAGAGTTTCAGTTCTGGACGAGGACAGGGCTTAACGACATTGCTTCTCAGAGAAGCGAATGGGGAAGGATTGGTTGAGTCTCACTTGGAAAAGCTGGGATGTCTGGTCATTGTATTAGTCTGAGGAAAGGATCGTAGGAACCTATACTCGCCAAGCCTCTGACATTGCATGCAAAATGCTGTATGAGTGACACTTTTCTTCTAACAGGTACTTAGCTTTCATCTGATTCTCAAAGTTGTTCATTGCCCCTTCCTTCCCAGGGGCTAAGAATATTTCCTAGTTTATTCAACAAAGTTGTCTGAATTGTTCAAGCAAGGAACAGTAAAACACAAAACAACATTCTGAATCATCAAAGGTTGACTATATTACTTAAACAACAATCAAGCTTAACAGTGCTTAAAAGAACTAAAAAAAAAAAAAAAAAAAAAAAAAAAAGCATTATTGAACTCACCCTAATATGCCTAAACTTTTCTCAAAGTTCAAATTAGAAAAAAAAATAAATAAAAAAAAATAAAAAGAGGAAAAACAAATCAATAAATTAGTGCTGAGGAGTCATAAATGGGAGGCGGTATAGTTTCAGCTGAGGGCTCTAGAACCAGCCCACTCGGTTTTAGATCCTGGTTCATTTGCTTTATTTGCTCTGTGAATTTGGAAAAACTGAATATTTCTATGTCTCCATTTTCTCATTAAGAAAGTGAGGAAAATGATAGCTATATACTAAATAAACTAACAAATGTAAAATAGAATCTTGGCAAAGTGTTCAAATCACTAATTATCATTAAGATTGAGAATAATTAAATCACAAGACTCATTTTTCTAAAGGGCCATTTGTTTTTTCTTAGGTAGAAAATTGCAAATCTAACATTTATTTATTTATTTATTTATTTATTAAGGTATTATATCTTATCATTGCTCCCCCCACACACACTCCCAAACATGCCCTCAACACCTCACCACCCAGTATTTTGCGTCCATTAGTTATGCTTATATGCATGCATGCCAAGTCCTTCGGTTGAAGTCTAACGTTTATTATTAGATATTTATTATTTTATTTTTTCTGGAATTCATCATCGGGCCTAGTTATATTCTAAGAACTACCGTAGTAGACTAAACACTGAGGTTATCAAAAAGCTTCCATCTTAATTGCCCTTGAAGGAAGGGCAGAAAAACCTCTCCTTTGGATAAACGTTGCATAAATATTTAGCTAATAGAAAGTTTTTTAAAATCTAGAAACTCGAAAGCATTAACTGCATCTTAGAAACTTCAGAGGCAAATGTGCCACCATATCATTATAGCTAACACAGTAAAAATTTTATCGTGCAAAAGCTGTTGAGTAAAGCTAGTCTCACACTGGCTTCGTGGGTTCTTCCAGTTACTAAACCATTTCAGCTACTAAACCAGACCAGTCATAGTTTGAGGTGAGAACAATTATATGGACACACCCCGACTTATGATGATTCACCTTACAATCTTCTGATTTTACAGTGGTGGGAAAGCAATATGCATTCCGTAGAAACCATACTTTGCGTTAGGTCTGGTGATAGGTGGCGCGATACTCTCTTGTGATGCCGGGCAGTGACAGCGAGCTGCCGCTCCCAGTCAGGCATGTGGTCACCGGGGAAACAACCGTCGCTCTACAGTGTACTGTGCTGCCAACCTTTTTTTTTTTTTTTTTTTTTTTGAATATTGTGTTTTGTGTTTTTGCATCCCATCATGTCTACAAAAATGCCCATCTGTGTCTCTTGCCTCTGGTAAGAAGAGGAAGACATTTTACTAAGTGTTTGGGCACATTTAAGGTAGGCTAGGCTAAGCTATGATGTTTGGTAAGTTAGGTGTATTAAACGACGTTTTAAATTTACAATGGGTTTATCAGGAAGTAACGTCATTGTAAATCAAGAAGTATTTGAGGAAAAAATAAAAAATAAAGAAGTATTTGGAGTAGGTAGACTTGAACAATTTTAGAAATGAATTCAGAGTCCAGACAACAAACATTTTACTGAATAAGGTTGTTTCCGTGCCTGAAGATCTCAAAGTTTGGTCTTGATCTGAGCTACTATTGAGAGAGAGAAGACTACAACAGAACAGGTCTCACCTGTCATAAGCCAGAAGTGTCATAAATGCCCATATTTAAAGGCTTCTTGCCATTTCCTGATCTGAGCTAATCTGAACACCTTAGACCACCCAAGGCTGCCGCTCCTATCCCAAGCCCTTAAAGATACACTTTTCCCAAATATATGTCCTTTAATTAAGCCTTGCTGTTACTTATTTTTCTTTCCCTGAATGATCTCGTTAATTTCCACAGCTTTTACAGTCTTCTGCCTATTGATGACTCCCAATCAGTATGACTAGCTCTGACTGTATGATAGACATCTGTTAAGTCTGATCAAACAATTGAATCGATACCCTCTCCCCTGAGAACTGACCTTTAGGCCACTTCACAATGGACATTTCACTTGCTTAGACCACATTCTACTTGCTAAGACCATTACCTCTCCCCTCTGCAGTTTCCTGGAATCCAGACCTGCACAGAGAATTCTCCACCCAGAAAGAGCTCACTTGGAGTCCTTTAAAAACCTCTGACTCCCCATCTTTGGGTGCTGGTGCCATTTTGGAGCTCAGCCCATCTGGGTTTCCAAGATGACCGAATAAATTCATAATTCTTTACCCCTTTTGGCTTTGTGGTTTCCTCCTTTGTCAGCCCTAACAAAACATGCACTATCCTTCAAACCAAATTCAAGACCCCTCCCCCCTGCTCCACGCCTAACTCAGACTTTCTCTTTCTATTGCACCACAACCTCATGGGACAAGTGCACGCCCAGAGTCCATTCTATTCCCTCCTTTTGGATCATCACCCAGATAATAGGACCCTAAAAATCCTTGTTCAAGTGGCCCCCTGCTTACTCCCAGAGCCTATAAGAGTCTCTTTTTCAGATCACCTTTGTAGGGGATAACTACACAGCTGGTGTTCACACACCTAGGCCTCAAGAGTAGCTAAGGGATAGCTGTTTGCAGGGGCTGAACAGACTGTGCACATGCAGGCTGCCATAGCCGCACACCTGTGGCCGCGAGTGGGCTGGAGAAAGGTTCTCTCACCTCCTTATTTCAGCATGAACTCCAAGGATCCCAAGTACTCTTCCTTCCAAATTATATAAAGGTAAATTCATTAAGGAGGGAGGATAGACCATATTTTATTGACTTGTTTTCTTTATTTTTAACTTTTGCATATTAAACATATGATATGCAGGCCTCCATTTATTATTCTTGCCCAATGTCAAAAGCAGATTTGCTCCTAGGGAGCCTGTTCTTAACCACACCAAATACTTGCAGGTCTTTAATGCCTTGTCTTCCTCAAGCATCAGTTTCATTGCAAAACAATTTTCAATGCATAAGTCAAACAAATGGCTGATTTTCTTAGCAAAGAGCCCCTGTAAATAAAGTGCTTAAAAGACCAACAACATAATAATAAAAAAATTTCCAAGAAAATGAACTAACCAAACATAGAAAAAGAAATACACATGCAAATAATTGTTTGACAAAATGCTAACCCCCTACTCATAAATTTTTTAAAACATACAAATTAAGAGGGCATGAGTTACCAATATTCACCGTCACAGTGGCAAAGGTTTAAAATATGATAAAACTGGGTCACAATATTATTGTGACAAAATCAGTATTCTTATACATTAATATTGAGAATAAAATTGTGTACAACTTACTTAAAGGTCAATTTATCGATCTGCATCAAAAGAGAAAATGAATGAGCTCAGACTTTACTGAGTCTTAACAGAATGAAGCTCATTGGCCTGTAACCATTGTGAGTGTGAAGCACAATTTTTGTCATCTGGGTATTAGAACAAAGAGATAAGAAGCTTTTGTTAAGTATTTAATCATTTTGAAATCATTTCTTTTTTCTTTTCCCAACAAGAGAGAGACCAAAATGGCCAGAGGCAATCAGACCACAGTGACAGAATTTGTCCTCATGGGATTCACAGACCGTCCTGAGCTTCAGCTTCCACTCTTTGTGCTATTTCTCTTAATTTATCTCATCACCCTCGTGGGAAATCTTGGCATAATCCTGCTCATCAAGATGGATCCCAGGCTCCACACGCCCATGTACTATTTCCTCAGCCATCTGGCATTCATTGATCTTTGTTACTCATCTTCCATTGGTCCCAAGATGCTGCAAAATTTATTGGTGAAGAAAAAAACCATCTCCTTTTTGGGCTGCTTTGCCCAGCTGTACTTCTCCAGTGCTTTTGCCACGACCGAATGCTTCATCTTGGCCACAATGGCCTATGACCGCTACATGGCTATCTGCAATCCCCTGATTTACACAGCAATTATGACTCAGTGGGTCTGCAAGGAATTGATGATAGGGGTCTATACCTATGGCTTCCTACACTCCATGATACAGACAGTTCTGACTTTCCAGTTGTCTTTCTGTGACTCCAATGTCATCCATCATTTCTACTGTGCGGACCCCCCTCTCCTTGCCCTCTCCTGCTCCGATACCCACAACAAAGAAAAGCAGCTCTTGATCTTCTCAGCAGTGAACCTCATTGGGTCCCTCCTGACTGTCCTCATCTCCTACATTTGCATCCTCTCTTCCATCATAAAAATCCAGTCCTCCAAAGGCAAATGCAAAGCATTTTCTACCTGTGCCTCACACCTCACGGTGGTCATCATCTTCTACGGGACGTTGTTTTTCATGTACCTGCAGCAGCCTAGAGCAAGGAACTCATGGGAGGACAACAAAGTGGTCTCTGTGTTTTACAGTCTTGTAATTCCCATGCTCAACCCCCTAATCTATAGCCTGAGGAACACGGAAGTAAAGGACACCCTGAAAAAGATGATAGAGGGCAAAGAGTCATAGTGAGTGAGTTAGTGAGTGAGAATGTGGTATTGGGAAAGTATGATAGACTAACAGGCTATGACCAATCTGATTGATACTTAGCAGGCCAGTTGCTATCCAATCAAGAAGCAAACAGTCAATCCAATTTGTATTTTTTTAATGACTAAAAGTACCAGGTCACTTGCTTGACATAGCAAGATTTAATCCAATCAATTATCATGAACTAATCAGGATTTACAAGCTAGACTCTTAATAACTGTGTCCTTCATATGTTGAAAATGAATTGACTCACTACCAGTTAGGTAATAACATGAACTCTAAATTTAAAAAGATTTGGAAAAGCAGCTTTCTAGGTAAAAGTATAAATAAATGAAGTTGGGTTCAAAACCCAAACATGAACACCTCTGTTGTTAGAAACATTTTCCAGCTTAAAACAGAAAATATAGTAGTAAATAATTTCTTGGTCTTAAAAACATATTTCTGTATAATGTATTGCAATAGATGCTGGTTAAGCTTCATAAAAAGTTTATTATTACGTGTAGTTGAAATGCTGCCTGCTTAAAATGGACAATAGAAAAAAATAGTATTACCGCAATAAAAAGGGAGGAAAGCATTTTACTATGAATCAGTTAAATTTGGAGGTTCTTTTATTGTTTATTTAGAAAAGAAAGTTTAATTGGAAGAGATAAAGAGGATTTAGTGTACTTCCAGAGATGTTGAACGTAGTCCAACTGCCAGGGTTTAGTGTTTCTAGTCTCTGGAGGTGCAGCTGCGATGATTTTTAGGGGGAGGGGGAGAGAGGAAGGACATCATACGTGAACTTAGAAAGGGGAAGAGCTGAGAGCTTCCTAGGAAAGCAGGCAGAGTGTGCATGCCTCTGAGAAATGAAATTATTTCCTTAATGTGGATGACTTAGAGAAGTACTTTCATTTTGTAACATTTTCCATGTACTTTATTTCTGTTTTCTCAGCTCTGATATGATAACTTTTTTGGAGATATATCCATATATATATTATTTCTGTTAGTGGGGATAGGGGAAAGAAAAATCTCTTAATTTTTTATTCAGGCAAGAATATAAGCACTCTATGATTTTTCTAAGTCTCAATTCTAATACTTTTTTAAAAAATAGTTCTTAAGACACACACAACGCTATAAGCCATTAGAATTTTCCTTAAACCGTTTCCAAGTGTGATTACTATTTTCACTTATTTTTTTAATGGCTAACAACATATATCACTAATCAACTACAAATAAGTTCAAAATTAATCAAGAAACTAAAGGGTTCCTTTTCCCCCAGATTAAACCTTCAAATAATTGATGGGATCTTTATTTTACTGCTGCTTATGATCTAGTAATTTAGAAAAATATAAAAGGTTAAATATTTATAATTTCTCTTATTTAGCTCAGAAACCTTTCTGTAGAATTTAGTTACAAAAATTGTATTCCTAAACTCTTGGGGATTGGGTGTGGGCTTGGTTGAAGCGAAAAATATTGCTGAGTGAGGAAATGTCTGAAGCAAGCCCAGGAGGTAGGAGAGCTTGCATAGGTAAGAGCAACAACAGAGCAAGCAAAGTGGGGAAGATATTGCTGATGAATAATGTGAGACAGATTGTTAGATCCCAAGCTCATTGAGACTTACCTAGCAGGTTACTACTCTGCACCCCAGGACCTACCACAGCTCCTGGCAGAGACAGACACATCATAACTGTTTGCCTAAATTAATTGAACTCTCCTATTTTCATTCCTAATTCTAATGGATAGGTGGGCAAGGTGCCCAATAATGGCCTGTGGTTGGGAAATATCGGAGAGAAGAAAGTAACAGGGTTACTTTCAGGAAGACTATTTCCAGTAGTGCCCCCCCCCCTCCTTCCCCCGCCAACCTGCCAACGAGATTAACATATGTAAGGCAGGAAGACAATTGAGGGCAATCACACAACCTGGCCAGTGAAAGAGATGCACCTGGGAAGTTTATATATGATTGGGAAGATGGTAGGTAGTAGCTAGAGTTTTCGATGGACCATGACAGGCAAGGGACTGTTCTTTACTCTATTGAAATAAAGAAAGTAAGCAGGTACCAGCCCTTTGATGAGAAGTTGTTTTCAATAAAATAAAATAAAAGACACAGCATTACTTAAATCTGTTTCAAACTATTTCCATGTCAGTTTAGCTTAGAAAGATTTTTTTAAATCACATATTTTAATACATCCTCGCACAAATGAATTATGGTCTAAGAAGAGTACATTTCATCATTTCTTAAGTTCTTTTTAGAGAAAACTGAATAAAAGAACGTCAAGAATAAAAGAACCTCCCCATAATGCCCACCCAGTGGCTGAATGTATGTACTTGGTTCTCTGTACTTCCTTGATTTCCTGTAAAGCAAAGTAGAAAATTAAGAATATTATATATACAGATTATGATGGATATAAGACCATGTCATCCTAAATTTCCCAAAGACCTAAAAAAGCAAAGAAAGGTATGAGGAAGGGTCTGAATTGGCTAAATTTGGGACTAATATTTCCTATTTCTTTTCCCATGGGGACTCCTTAGTCTTGTAAATACATCTCCTAGGTTTGCATCTTTAATAAGTAAGAAAATCCCCTCATCAATTGCTTACATTGTTAAAAATGCATGGCACATATTACGTAAGTGTAGTATTAAAATGACAATATTTAGGCTGGAAGAGAAACCAACATGATTATGCATCTTTCTTCATATATAAAGTAATCACATGTCAATACTCAAAACAATTATGCTAGTTTTTCAGCCCAAGATAAACAAATATATTTTGAATAAATGAATGTCACCAAAATAATAAAATTTTACCTTTATCAGATTTTAAAAGCTTAACATTTCATTGAAAGTGAGAATAAAACTCCTCTAATTTAAATAAAATCTAAAAGATAATCCTAAAGATGAATGCTCTTTGCCAACATTCACCATATAGACATTTCCATTAAAACAATCTAAAAAACATGAAATGTGCATATGTATATATAAATTTATACTCATTTGCACATAAAATGCAGAATTTTTCAATCTCCCTAAATTTAAATTTCTTATTTCTCCTTACTTAATACTCTTGATTTGCCATGCTTAGGAACATGCCAGAAGGATTTTTGATGGTGTTGATAATGGAAAAGGAAACACGAGAGGACAAACATCTACTCATTATCTTTCATATTATTTGATGTATAATAAGTATTACAGAATTTTGAGAAAAATCTCAAATGTGTGCCCCCAAATTTTCAACTCTACCCTGGATGAATAAGTCTAGCATTCTTTGGAGAGCAAGGTGGAATAGGAAGATATGAATTACGTGCTTAAGTGTGGCTTCCACCTGCAATTAAATGGTGCATCCACCAGAGAGGTAGGGAGCCCCTAATGTCAGAAGTTGGGGAATTAAGGCTCCTGGGAAGGTAACAGATTTAGCCTGTTCTTCCAAGCTCTTTTTTTTTTCCCCCTTAAAGATACAAACATGTTGTAAATAACTAGAACTTCTATCTCTGATAAGACAGGGAAAGTTGAAACAGGAAAAGGTAATCTTTATTTTTTCTTTTTAAGTAAATAATTCTGTCTTACTCCATTGCAACAGCGTAACCGTCCTAACAGTTTCTAGGTTTTATTCAGTGATCTGAAAGAAAACGTTCTCTTCCTACAAGCTCACTGTCTTGGCTTGGGTGTGTTGACCACTCTGGCACCAGGACCACTCTGGCACCTGCAGCTTCTGCCCCCTTATGGCAATCCTGTTTGCTGACCACGTGGAGTTGGTCCAAGGAGCAGAGCTAGAACAATGAGCCAGCCAGGCTCAAGCACTGTCCAGGCCACCTCAGGTTCACCCTCAGCCAGGGTCTCTGCAGGACAGCTGGTTTCTGAGACCTCGGCAAGCATAGGGAGAGCTCCTAAGTCCATCTCTGGGGTTTTCCCCTGCAAGGTTTTTACTCTATCTTTATTGTCTTTCCTCTTTAAAAGAACCATTTTTTAAAATATATTTTATTGATTTCAGGAGGGGAGAGGGAGAGAGAGAGAGAAGAAACATCAATGATGAAATAGAATTATTGATTGGCTGCCTCCTGCATGCCCCCTATGGAGGATCAAGCCCATAACTTGGGCATGTGCTCCAACCGGGAATCAAACTATGACCTCCTGGTTCTTAGGTTGACACTCAGCCACTGAGCCTCCATGGCCAGGCTAAAAGAACCATTTTTAACTCTCCTCATCCATATCATCTCCTGTTTCATCGAAAAGCTGATCTCATGAATGGTTTATTACTTATCATCTGCATTAAGCAAAAGTATCAACTGGCTTTCCTTAGAATTCTTTCAGACGCAGAATATAAATTAATTAGAGGCCAAAATTTGGGTACTCCCTCCCTTCCCAGTTACCTGCCACCACTGGCAGGACCTAATTCCCTTCCCCAGGTGGTCTGCCCCCTGATCGAACTTCCTGGAAGAACTCCAGTCGAGGGGACAATTTGCATACTATGCTTTTATAAGATAGGATGTTTAAATTAATGTAATAATAGAGCAATAATTTTTTTAAAAAAAAACTTTACTGTTATTAATATTGGGAGAGGCATTTTTATAAAGAAATATTAAAAACATCTGTCACATTTATTGGACTGTTTCCTTCTTACATGAGGATCTAAAGCTGGGCAGCAGGGGAGGAAAGAGTGCAGAGGAGAGGTCTTAGAGAGAAGCTGATGTATCACTTCTCAGACTCTGTGGAGGTTCTGGCTATGGCTTTATTTCTTTGAGGAAAGAGTAAAATCTTTCAAGTACTGATGGATGCTATAAGAAAATGTAGCATTGCCTATTAAATACAGTAAATGCTCAATAAAAGTTAACTGAATCTTGGTTTCATCGCTCTCAATCTTGCTTTCCATCTCTGTCTCACATCCACATCATTATTGTTGTCATCGTCATCATCATCACCACGATCTCATAGATGTTCTCTTGGGACAACCAGCTCAGAATCTTAATGATCAAATTGACCATCATCTTCTACTTTATAGCCAACTTCTGCTTTTCACAGTTTTGTAAATGCCACTTTCCCCAGTCAGCTGGTTCAAAAAAACTTAGTTACTTTCGACCTCTCCTTTTTTATCTTCACATTTCAAAAAGAAGGTAAGATTTACTCATTATTTATCTGTGCAGGAACACAGGATTTCTTGCACCAATCCCCTTTCTTTCCAATCTTATCACCAGCTTTATCATTACATTCAGGCTCCTGAACCTCCCTTGGCTTTGCTTCTAATCCCCCACCTCAGAGGTCCTCAGTAGATTCACAAATGTGTGAGTATAGTGTATGTTAATATCAGCATTTCAGACCAGTGGGGAAACAATGCACTTATCAGTAAATTAGGGCAATTGCAAGCCATTCACACATTTATATGCCTTACACCTTTTATCAAAATAAATTCAAGATTAATCTGATCTTAATGTAATAAATAGAACCTTAAAAATACTTGAAGTGTAGATGAATAGTTGCTAGTCTGAAAATAGGAAAAGCCTTCCTTAGAAGAGAAATAAGCTTAGAAATTATAAATAAAAAGCTTGAAAATTTGGGTGGTATGGAAATTTTAAATTTCTATGACAGTAATGAGTAAATACTGGCAAACATCAAATGGAAAAATAGTCACAATATATATGATAAAATTATATGGACAGAAGAGAGATAAATCAATAAAAGGGTGGGAACAAGATATGAACAGACAACTCACAAAATAAGAAATATCAATGGTCTGACATTATGCAAAAGATGTTCAGTCTCATTAGTAACAAGAAAATGCAAATTAATGTAATGATAAGATCATTTTTCACCTATCAGATTGCAAAGATAGTAAAGAATATTAATAACCAGGTGATAATATAGGAAAAGAGGCATGCTTACAGGCTGCTTTTTGAGAGTATAAATTGGTATAAAAGCCTTACAATGAAGTACCTTTTTGATCAAGCAGTTTTCTTTACAAACATTTATTTTGTGAAAATACTCTAAGAAATGTACGAAGATATATGCATTTTGCAACTTACTATAATAATCTTTATAACAGTAAAACATAAGTAGCCATATAAAGATATATCAATAAAGGATTGATTAAATAAGTTAAGGAATAGTGATACAATAATATATAATATGTAGTAATGCAGCAATTAAAATTATGTGGATTACTTTATTTTCATGGAAGTGCTCATGAAATATGTACAAAAGGGGTCAAATTATGCTTATAAGATCATTTATTTTTTATTTTTTTATATATTTTATTGATTTTTTACAGAGAGGAAGAGAGAGGGATAGAGAGCTAGAAACATCCATGAAAGAGAATCACTGATCAGCTGCCTCTTGCACACCCCCCACTGGGGATGTGCCCTCAACCAATGTATATGCCCCTGACCGGAATCGAACCTGGGATCCCTCAGTCCCCAGGCCGACTGAACCAAACCGGTCTTGGCAAGATCATTTTTTTTTGTAATTATATATGTGAAATATATAGAGATACACATCTGGTAGTGAATGATTGATGTTAATCAGCCTTTTACTGATTTCTTGTTTCAGAAATAAACAAAAAATAAGAAATCAGTCCTATTCAAGATTAGTCTTAAGATACAGTCTCAGCCAAGATTCTGTTCTAAATTTTTAACTCCAAATTACCTTCCTAGGGCCCAGTGCGAAGCCTACAGGAAGGGAGGCAAGTTAAAAGGATGCACCACAGTCTACACGAATGGTGCTTAAAGATAGTGGGTAGAGAGGGGAAGACTGAGACGGTGGAGGAGTAAAAGATGATGCAGGGTTTCATATCTGCCTGGGAGGCCAAAAGGGAAGATGGTTTAGCAAAGATGCTGGCGTTCAGACAGCAACACAGAGCCTTGAACATAGCAGTGGTCTGATGTTTGTTAAAAATAGATGAATGTGGGTCCATATGATT